GAGATAAGTGCTAAAACCTCTTTCAACATGAAATTTTTGCATTTGACCTGGAAATCTAAGATGATCGACCTAGGTTTTCATAACCCTATTAAAAAAAACGAAAAAAAAGTCTGATATATGGGGCTTTGTCTATTGGCTCGAATGCAGGAAATTGAGTTTCAGACTATCAAAAATAAAAAATTTTCGGGAGGAGGGCATGCCCCGACCCCCCCCCCCCAATTGGCTTCGTTGGCCTACTGGCGGCGCTTGCATCACAACTGGAAGTGCCCGCCCGGCCCACTAAAAAACCTGTTGGGGCAGAACCCTGAGATGTGTAAGTAGACCATAGTTTCGTCACGCTGAGGTCAAATTAGGGGTATGAGTTTATAGAGCGCTAAAGGAGAAAGTGTCTGCAGGCGCAGCTGGACAGACAATGAAACCAATAGTATCGGCCCAGCCGACTTCGTCGCTGGGATATACAATTAATGCTCAGCCACAATTCTAAGTAATGCGACCACAAAGTTGAAAACTGAAAGTGAGAAGCTAAGCTAGTGACGCAAGTATGAATGATGTTTTTTATTAAGAGAAAGTAATGAATGGTTTAAATAAAAAATTTTCATAGTAAACTGGGACCAGTTTTATTAAAGAATCACAGCGCTTTATTTGAATGCGAAGTGAAACTTAATGAGTGGCAAAGGTGGTTAAAAAGTGGCTTCTCAGTAAACAGACATTCTTTTCTGATTTATAATCTAAAGCTTTCATGTTATAATAAGCGCAGCGCTTTAATTAAGTACGCAATACATCATACAATCAGAAATTAATTGATCGACTGAAATGCTTTGGTCCATGAACAAAAAAGTTAGTACATCTAGTACTATGCCGAATTAATTATGAATTCAAGTTTTGGGGCGGGAGGGTTGAACAGACAAGGCGGAAAATATTGTAAGTATTAAGTATCGCACAGAAGGAAAATAGGAATTTTGGTGAGAAAATATATGCTAAATCGGAATATTTTTTGCGTTAGATGGCCTCCCAACACCCATCCCGATTCACCACAAATGGTTTTATTAATATACATATTTGGAGTTACATCACATGCGAACAATATTTTGAGGTTTTAATGAGAAATGCATGTTAAAATTGATAAGCAGTCTATACAAGCATAAGCACCCATACATGTAGACTACTCCAAAATAGTAGTGATAATGATTAAAAATAAAGACTACACATGCACATATGATATAAGATTATTCAGAAATTGTGCAATAAATTTTTACTGTAAAGCACAAATATGTTAAATAGGAATATGTGTTCATTAGATGGCCTCTCAACACCCCTATAGCCATCCCGATCCACCACAATTGTTTTTTGTTTATTTCTAATTAAAATATATTTGAATGTGCATCACATAGTAAAATTTCTAAAGAGAAAGGTTCTAAAGAGAATTTATGCAAGTTAAAATTTTAGCTGCAGTTTCTAACTTTCTACATGCATAAGCACCCAAACATGTAAAAGACTACTCCAAAATGGTAGCGATTTCAAAATAAATGACTGGACATGCACAATGATATGACATTCCTTAGAACTTGCGCAAAGCAAACGTATCAGGAAAGATGATTAATTAGTGTGTCAAACTTCATGTATTGATATAACAAAACTATTGACACACCATGTGTAATATGAGATTTTTCAAGTTTTACAAATAATTGATTTATTTTTATGACATACATGTATAACATACCACATCCAACAGAGACACAACTTTACTGAAATAAAATCTGTGATAGTAAAGAGTATATTACGTTAATTTAAAGTAAGGGGTGGGGGTCGATCTGGGGGTTCTCCACCAGAAATTTTTTGAAAATTGGGTCACCTGAAAGTGAAATGTAAATTCCTGCATTCTGAGAAGGATACATACAATTCTAGATTCAGAAAAATAAAAAGCCCTCAAAAATAGGAAAAATAGGAATTTTTCGAGAAAATAGGAGAAAATAGGAACTTGACGATAAGACAGGACTTTGTGATATCTGAGAAAATATTATTGTGGCTGCAATAACTTCAATGCTAAAATAGGCATGACTGGTACCTTTGCTAAATTTTTTTTATTTTTAACAAGTATAGCAGCAATCTAATATAGCACTGCCAGACCATTAAGTTGGAATTTTGTAGAAATGTCACGCGAGTCACGGTGGAATGGCTGTGCTACAGATAAACAGCCCTGGCTACAATTCACCATACATTATTATGGACCTTTATGGTGTCAGAGTAATAGCTAGCTTTATATTTGCATTTATGTACATGCATATATGCTTGTCATGCCTTCTAAACAAATTCACAACGAAGCTGTCATTTGATATGATTCATGACTAGAATATTAATGAAATCTAAAGGACACAAGACTACTGCAATGTGGATCTCCTTTATGGCAGACCAACAATATTTAGTGTACCCTACATGAATGGACTGCACTGCATGTTCTACTTTGGTACATCGAGGAACTGACACGCAGAAAAGATAACTGTAGTTCCAAGCACTCAACAATGGGTCTGCTATGGCTCATTTCAGTTTGCTGCTCCATTTTTAAACTGGTATATTACTAACAGCAATCTGTCAAGTGAAACACTCAGAAACAGCAACTATTTTTGAACTTGGTTCCTGTTACTGGCTACACACTAACCTGGAGATTTAGATTTAACAGATAGTACTGACCTCCTCCAATATTTTCTTTACTTCATCTTCCCTTTCAAACGTTACAAATCCATACCTATAAAAATAAGAACCATTAAAATCTCATCTACTACTAAATTTTCTCTGTACATTACGTTAAAATTTTTGCAGTGCTGAGTGTAATCACAAGAAACGTGAACAACAACGTATTTTAATAGGCTAATTATAGCAACAGCCATTTAATACACCAAAAGCATGAAAGGTTCCCAGTTCGATCTACTTGAAACTACACGGAAAAATCACAACTCTGACATATACATAGTGAACACCTGGTTAAAAACAAATTGTACAAACTATGCAGAATAAGTATTAAATATTTTATTTACCCTTTAGAAACACCAGCACGATCTGCAATGATCTTAGCTTCCCGGACAGCTCCATGTACACTAAAAAATGCCTTTAGTTCGATATCATTTGTCTGAAATTGATTATATAAAATCTGTACCCAGCACCAATACTGTAAATGAGGTGGTATATAACAAGTCTAAGTAACAAATTTAAATGAATTGTATGCATGTGTGAGCAGTTTCACAAGACACATGTACATATGTTGTTTGACGCAATATTACAAACACATTCAGAAGCACACAATTAATCATAGCTTTTTCAAGTTATAAAAAACAAACTTTAATCATATCTTACTATCTATTGGCAGTAGCAATTATGAAACACAAGATTGCTCACGTTAGCTGGTATTCCTCCCACAAATATTCTATTAGGAATGAGTGTGCCATATTTTGGTGGATGAGTCGCATTCGGTAGAGAATCTGTTGGCGATGGCACAGGAGACATTCCTTCGTGTGAACTTGTTGTAGACTGCAGTGGAAATGTCCACGAATAGTGGTATCAACAATATGGTATAGCACAGTATGGAATAGTGGTACAAGTACAAACGAACGTAATTATATGAATTAATTTGGTACTTAATTGGTAGGCCTAGTGTTAATAAATAGCATATACTCGACAAGTGGCAATGACAGAATCCTTAGTTTGTTATTTGAAAAAAAAACAAGCAACTTTAAATTATGCAATGCTTTAATGTTTAGTACGTAAGATGTTTACTGACGTTCAGCTAAGCCTACAAAGTAGAAAATAATATCAAGATCGAGAAAGGTAGGGGTTTGTGTTGCGGTGAGAGCGAGGCGGCCAGGGAGCCGACGACGCTAGAGCACCAACATCCGCCCATCAGACCAATCCCGAGATCCACAGACACAATGGTTTTTCATATCTAATATAAGAACAATCAGCGTGAGAAATCCATAGACGGAGCGGAGGAGACACAGATCGCTCAGTGGCGCATTAGAAAAATCTCACCGGGCGAAGCTGAGGGCTTGCAAAATTGTGTCAGCTGATCCGCGGGGCGACTCAGATAAGTACGGCCGCAAACAGCACGAGGAGAAACAAAATAGCAGACCATTGTAAACGGGAAACGCTGCATAGATACAACGGGAGGACGCGTTCCGTGAAGAGGGGTTGCCTAACAAACGATAGACGGCGGTAGAACCAAACGACTTCTAGAGCCTGACAATGAACTACCCTGCAAACGCAATGATTTCGCCACAAGAAACGAAACAAAACCTCGCAGACGCGGTCCTAAAGAAATCGATTGCGGCGGCATGTAAAGAATGCAAAGCCGCATAACAATAAGCGTAATTTATATCGGCAGTGTGTATACAGTGGGCAAGTGAGGAAGCACGACCAGTGCACACCTGACAACACACAGTAATAAAGAACTCTGTAATAACATGAAATTCGTACACATTTTACATGTGACTATTGGAAAAAGTAGAAGTGTTGGGAAAGAAGTGAGACTATAAATTAATCAGTAGATATCTAAAGACAGCAATCGTAAACTGGTATAAATACTGATAAAGATATTTAATGTGTAAGGACACTTTAACTTTGGAGGATAATGAACGAAAAGACTAGCGAAGTGAGCGAGAGGATAAGGGGTACCAAAGTAGACTGAGGGAAGGAGAAAACGAAAAGTAAAACCTTGCCGCAAGAACTCCAGCAGCATATCCATAAGAGATTAAAAATTACCAGTACAGTTTTTTTTTAACATACTCACAAAGATAAACAAAAAACTATGAGTGTACTGAGTAAGTGACATGTCTGATCTGATGTGATTAAATTGAAATAAGAATAGTGATTGAGTCCTTAGTCGAAGTGAAATGGATTTATAAAAAAAAATGATCGGAATGTAATTTGTTGACAGATTCTTAGACGACTGACCAGTCTGATACATGGTGCTGAGTGCTGAAAATGCTGAGAGAGGAATATTAAGAGAATCGATGCATCCAAATGATAAAAATTAAATAACAAAATCATAGGTATGAAACAAATAAGCAATCTGGCAAGCGTAAAATAGCATGTCGCCGTAAAAAAAATTACGAGAGACTCATTTATTTCATATCAATATCAAAAAAAGAGCTCATCGAGTAAAAAAAGACGTAAATTTTTAGGCTATAGCCCGCACAGAGAAAATAAAAAAAGTTACCAAACTGAGATTGAATTTTGTTATTCTCTAACTAACCTTCTACATATATTCTAATGAATGAAATGGTAAATAATTAAATATCAAAATATAGATAAAAAATAAGTCAAATCCGAAACCTAAAGTCACAATGCAAGGAACAGCACAAACTCTACCATGTGTTCGAATATTGCTTCTTGTCATAGCTGTAAAACCTCTGCTAAATATCCGATAATACTGAGGCATCCCCAGACGCAAATCATGCAATCACGTAAATAAAAATACTGATAATTTATAGGAAATAATGAAGCGGCTCAGAGACCAAGAGCTGATCCTTGAAATCAAGACACTTGAATGAACTATGTTTCCGATTTACTACGCATCAGTGTAAAACGAGTAAAAAAGTGTAATTTTTAAGAATACCATTAAAATGCACATCACTAAATTACGCAGCCATCCCCCAAGTAAGAAAAAGATCTGATACCACTCACAATCCAAGAGTCAATTCCTTTGCATGACAAAATCCTGGACCAGTGCACTACGCCAGGATCCGAGTGAATTCCGCAGAGTCACTGTCTGCTGACCAGTAATCCAATTATGCAGGATTTATTACACCCCTAGTTACAATACCTCTGGATTACATTCACATGAACGACAAATATTATTTGGAGGTTTTAATGAGAAAATGCATGGGAAAATTAAATTGATAAGCAGTCTATACAACATAGACCGCGTGCATACATTATACAACCAAACTAGATAATGAATACGAATGATAAAAAATAAAGACTACACATGCAACATGATGATATAAGATTATTCAGAAATTATGCAAATAAATATATTACTGTAACAAGACACAAATATGTTAAATAGAATACAGTTTACATTAACATGTTTCGTCACGCTAGGTCAATTAGGGGTAGAGTTATAGAGCGGAAGGGAAAGTGTCTGCAGCGGCAGCTGGACAGACATGAAACCATAGTATCCCCGCCGACTTCGTCGCTGGGGATACAATTAATGCTCAGCCATTCTAAGTAAGTGCACCAAAGTTGAAAACTGAAGTGAGAGCTAGTGACATGAATGATTTTTTTTATTAAGAGAAATAATGAATGGTTTAAATAAAAAATTTCATGTAAATGGGACCTTTTATTAAAGAATCACAGCTTTTTGAATGCGAGTGAACTTAATGATGGCAAAGGTGGTTAAAAGTGCTTCTCAGAAACAGACATTTTTTCTATTTATATCTAAAGCTTCAGTTATGAATAAGCCAGCCTTTATTAAGTAGCCAATACATCATACAATCAGAATTTTGATGACTGAAATGCTTTGGTCCATGGAAAAAAAGTTAGTACTTAGTTACTACCATAATTATGATTCATTGTGAAAACAGGGGAAATATTGTAAGTATCAGCTTTGTATAGGAAGAATGGTGCATATGCTATGCATGGGTTGCCATTCAACTTGCCAACATACAATATTTCCCTTGTTTTCACAATTAATCACATGTATGGTAGTAACCAAGTATTAACTTCCTCATGGATCGTAACATTTTAGTCTTCAAAATTCTGATTATCCTAACGCTATGAACTACTACGTCACGCGAGTCACAGAATAGTTTCACGCGAGTCACATACCTAGGAGGATGTTGCTCACTTCAGATGAGCTAGGTTTATAGCAGTGCAAATGATGCATGGAGTGATCAAGGGTATTGGATACCTAGTTCACCAGGTATAACCCCGATAAAGCTTAAATAGTATTCTACGAAGTTTAAAGCGTGAAGTATACTCAGGGCGTCAAGTGACAAATGACGCTAAAAAAGTAGAAAAATAGGAATTTCAGATGTGAAAAAAATTGAAGGAAAATAGGAATTTTGGTGAGAAAATATATGCTAAATCGGAATATTTTTTGCGTTAGATGGCCTCCCAACACCCCTACAGCCATCCCGATCCACCACAAATGGTTTTATTAATATACATATTTGAGTGTACAGTCACATGCGAACAATATTTGAGGTTTGGTAATGAGATGCATGTTAAAATTGATAAAGAGTTTATACGAGTAAGCACCCATACATGTTAGGGACGTATCCAAAATAGTAGTATAATGCTAAAAATAAGACTACACTGCACATATGCATATTAAGATTATTTCTTCAGAAATTTGTGCAATAAGATGGTTTACGATAAGCACAAAAGTATGTTAAATAGAGATATGTCTTCATTCGAGGGCCTTCGAAACCCCTATAGCCATCCGAGTCACCACAATTGGTTTTGGTTGTTATTTCTAATTAAAATATATTTGAATGTTGACATCACATGTAAAATTTCTAAGAGAATTTATGCAAGTTTAATTTGAGCCTGCAGTTTCTAACTTTCTACATGCGATAAGCACCATAAACATGTAAAAGACTACTCAAATGTAGCGGATTATCAAATATAATGGACTGGGAAATGCACAAATGATATGACATTCATTAGAACTGCGCAAAGCAAAGTAGGTCAGAAAAGATGATTAATTAGTGTGTCAAATCATGTATTGATATAACAAAACTATTGACACACCATGTGCTAATATGAGATTTCTTTTCAAGTTTTTACAAATAATTTATTGATTTTTATGAGAATAATGTATAAATACCACATCCAACAGAGACACAACTTTACTGAAATAAATCTGTGATAGTAAAGAGTTTACATTCGTAATTTAAAGTAAGGGGTGGGTCGATCTGGGGTTCTCCACCAGCAAATTTTTTGAAAATTGCGGTACCTTGAATGAGTGAAATGTTAATTCCTGCATTCTGGAGGATACATACAATTCCTAGATTTCAGAAAAATAAAAAGCTCAAAATAGAAAATTAGAATTTTCGAGAAATTAGGAGAATAATAGGAACTTCGACGTAAGACAGGACTTTGTGATTCTGAGAAATATTATTGTGGGCTGCATGAACTTCAATGCTTAAAATAGGCTTGACTGGTACTTGCTAATTTTGGTTTGAGGTTTTAAACAGTATGCCAGCATTCTAATATAGCACTGCAGACCATTAGCAGTTGCGAATTTGTAGAAATGTCAGCGGGCCGGTGGAATGGCTGTGCTCAGATAAACAGCCTGGCTACAAGTTCACATTCATTATTATGCGACCTTTATGGTGTCAGAGTAATAGTAGCTTTATGATTTGCATTTTGTAAATGCATATTGCTTGTCATGCCTTCTAAACAATTCACACGGAAGCGCTATTTTGATTATGATGCATGAACTTAGAATATTAATGAATCTAAAGGACACAAGACTTACTGCAATTGTGGATCTCCTTGTATGGCGACCAACAATATGTTAGTGTACCCTACATAGAATGGGACTGCACGCGATGTTCTACTTTGGGGCATACATCGAGGGAAACTGGACACGCAGAAGATAACTGGGTAGTTCCAACATCAAACATGGGTTTGCTATGGTCATTTAGTTTGTGCCTATTTTTAAACTGGCATATAGGTTACTAACAGCAATCTGTACAAGTGAAGACATCAGAAAACAGCACCTATTTTTGAACTTGGTTTTGTTATGGCTCAACTAACTGAGAATTTAGATTTAACAGATAGTACTGACTCCTCTCAGAGTGGGTTATTACTTTGACTTGGGATCTTCTTTTCAAACGTTACAATCCATACCTATAAAATAAGAACATTGAGAAATTTCATCTACTACTAATTTTCTCATGTACATTACGGTTAAAATTTGTGCACGTGCTGAGTGATACCACGAAGAAGACGTGAAACACACAAGGTATGGTATTTAATAGGCCTAATTATAGCAACTACCATTTTAATACAACAAAGCAGGTGAAAAGGTTGTTTTGCAGTTCGATGTAACGTGAACTACACGGAAAAATTCGACAACTCTGACATATACATAGTGAACACCTGTTAAAACAATTGTACATACTATGCAGTAATAAGACTATTAAATATGTTTTTATTTGACACTTTAGAAACACAGCCACGATCTGCAGATGATTTAGCTGCCCCGCGACAGGCTCCAATGTACACTAAAAATGCCTTTAGTTTCTCGATATACTATTCTCGTCTGAAATCTGAATTATATTAAATCTGTACCCAGCCACGCATTACTGTTTACATGTGTGTGTAGTACGGAGGAGTTCATAAGAAGACTATAGTTAGAGTCAATTTAAATTGATATTTGTACGCTGGTGGCGTGGAGGCGTTTACAAGAGCAACATGTACATATGATTAGTTTGACGCAATTTACAAACACAGCGAAAGCACACAATGTAATGATAGGCTTTTTGGCGAAGTTATAAAAAACCAACTTTAATATATTTATTTTATCTGATGCGTCTAGAATATGAAAACCAAAGATTTTGCTCACGTTAGCTGGTCTTTGGCCTCACAAGGGATTTATTAGGAGGAATGTAGATGTGTCCGATATTTTTGGTGGATGAGTCGCAGTTCGGTAGAGGATCTGTAGTGGGCGTATGGACACAGGTAGACATTCCTTTCGGATGAACTTGTAATGATATTGAACGGTTACTAGCGTGCGGAATGACAGCGAATAGTAGGTTAGCTAACTAGTGATAGGGAGGGGCACTAATAGCAGGGCGGATTTTAATGGGAATAAAGTCGGCTCACAAGGTACAAACAGGACGTAAGGTGGTATATGAATGATTTTGGTACTTATTGGTTGGCCTAGTGTTAATAAATAGCTATACGTCGAACAGTGGACAATGACCACTGATCCGCTATAGTTTGTTATTTGAAAAAAAAACAAGCAACTTTAAATTATGCAATGTTTTAATGTTTAGTACGTAAGATGTTTACTGACGTTCAGCTAAGCCTACAAAGTAGTGATCATGCTTCCATCAGCCTCGCCTACACGACTAACTTTAACTCGAGTTAAGCGTCTACATGGGGCCTTAACTCGAGATAGCTTAACCTCGCCAGTCGATCGACGGCACACACACGTACGTGCACACACGCGGACGCACGCACGTCTACTTGCACATGAACACGCGCGCACACACGCACGCGTACGTGCACACACACGGACGCACGCACGTCTACGTGCACACACACGCACGTACGCACGCATGCACACACGTGCACCTGCACAAGCACGCACGCACGCACGCACGAACGTGTACCTGCACACGCGCACACGTGTACGTGCACACGCGCCCACACACGGACGCACGCACGTGTATGTGCTCATGCACATACGCACTCACACATGTACCTGCACAAGCACCCACGCACGCACGAACGTGTATCTGCCCACGCGCACACACACGGACGCACGCACGCACGTGTACGTGCACACGCACGCATGCACGCACTTGTAGGTACACACGCACGCACGCACGCACATGTACGTACACACGCACGCACGCACGCATGTTTACATACACACGCACGCATGCATAATAAATCGGTTATAATCGCTATCGGGTGTTGTCGTGTAGACGCTACATAATCGCTAACTCGAGTTAACGCTTATTCGCCACGTTATGGGCGGATGCATAGTTAAGGCTGTCAATTAAAGAGATACCGGAATACGTTCATATAAATCGTTATGTTCTCTTATTATCTGCATTCACATAGACGCTAGCAAGGGTGTACTACACACACTCACGCGTAACCACTTATACGATCACGGGTAGCAATAGGCTTCCCTATATAGGCCCTGCAGCCGGGCACGGTCTTCGATTTCCTAATTATGCCTGGCAGTTTTTAATTTTCAGCGTTATCTCAAGTAAACAAGGGTTAGGGTTAGGTACTACCGGGCATTTACGTGGTAGGTGTTGCGAGTATAAGTACTCTTGGTATCTTAGTATGTGGTTCTAAAGTGGGATTCGATCCGTGTTACCATATACAACTTCAAGATGCTAAGAAGAAACGCGTACACGATATATCATAACGTAGGGTGTTTGCAAATCACTTTTCAAACAAGAAAACGCAAGTACCAAACAACGGAACCAATACCAATACTGGTGTCAATACCACACCAGCCCTTACGTTCCCCGTAACCCTGCATGTAACAACGGTACGTATACTCGATCTATAAGTATAAATCCTACAATGCAAATTCTTTGCGGCTTGGTGCTAAAGCCTAAACTAATGTGACTATAATCGCATGAAATTAATGCACATATCAAAATGCCGAGACAACATGGAACTGACACAATGATAACTGAAAGATATTTACTCACCATTGTTGTGGGTCCTCCTATGGAACAAATACAACAACTACTAGTACTACGACGTAACTATCCACCTAACAGCACGATCAACGATCAACTGCGGCGAGCCAGAAGCAATCCGGAAGATTGTGAGTTGCCCCACTTGAGAAGACTCGACCACTTTTAGTACGGGTACCGGGTAAACATGCCAATATTCACGGAGCACCTCTTTTAGTGTTGTGTTTAACATAAATATGTTATTCAACAAATATAGATGACAGATCATTGGCATAAAACCACACGCAGTGCTATCGATCATACGCTATTGTGATTATACACGCGCGCATTTTCAGAATAAACATTAGCACCCACCCCTACGAGTAGCTAGTAATGGCGCGCACGTGCGTTGGCTGGATTGTTCCCGCCACAATGCGTTTGGACAGTAGCATATGCGTTGTATGTGCATCACGTAACACAGTGGCTCTGACAGTGGCGGGGCCTGAGTATGACTCGGTCCTGGAGATATTCCATAAAAAGAATATAGATTATTTCTATGAGATATTCACAGTAGCTCGGCGGGTATGATAAGCTTCTCTGATATATGAACGTGTTTGGTCACTACTATGGCTCATAGGGTCTATGTCCCCCACTGCATGGGCACTGCCGGAACGTACCCTGGTAACTATCTGATGTGGTTAGGGTTAGGGTTAGGGAGTAGGCGTAGGCGACTCCCTCGACTCGTTAGTGGAGTAGGCGAGGTACGGTCCGGCATATAAGATAGTACCAGGGTACGTTCCGGTATACCGGACAGTACCCAGGGTACATTCCGGCAGTACCCTGGGGGACATAGACCCTCTCAGCTGGCTCATAGACATAGGTATTAAGGTCTATGTCCCCCAGGGTACTATAGGAGGTTCGATATATCGGAACGTACCCTGGTAACTATCTGATATGGTTAGGGTTAGGGAGTAGGCGTAGGCGTAGGTGACATATATGTACCTGAGGTAACTATCTGATATGGTTAGGGTTAGGGAGTAGGCGTAGGCGACTCCCTAGACTCGTTAGTGGAGTAGGCGAGGTACGGTCGGTACGGTCCGGCATATTAGATAGTACCAGGGTACGTTCCGATATATCGAACCGTCCCCAGAGTACCCTCCGATAGTACCCTGGGGGACATAGACCCTATCAGCCTTATTATGAAGTATATTATACTAGAGTCAAATAGCAAAATCTGTGATCATTTGACAACGAATAATTGGTAGCATTTATAAGTACGCCACGTGTTTGTGCATATTCAATGTTCAGCTACAAAATTAAAACTGATATCACGTAGGCCTACTCCACCGACGATGTGCACACCATATATAGATTGTAATCAAATGTCATGAAGATTCTGATCAAAAGTTTTGCTCGATTGTGGATCGGGAGTGAATAATTTTTTACGTGTTAAATTTTTTTCTTATAATGGGTATATTATAATAGTGATTGTATTTATTGTTTCTAATGTACGTACGGTAATCTCCAAGGTAGAATAATCTGAAGTATCTGATAATGCAATAATGCATAATCTGAATAATGCAGAAGTATCTGAGCAAGTCTGCATGCACAATACACTAATTAAGCTAATAGACGAAACATACAAACAATTAAATCATAAACAATTCATACCTTTTATTCAGTAATGTTCAAATTAAATAAGCTCTAGTACACATGTAAATGCTTTATTGAATACTGTACAATATGTGAAAATAATTACAAGTTCCCAAAAGTGCACTGATCGGTATACTAAATTTATAATATGTAGGAGATTAAACATCCTCGTGTCACAGATGATTCTACCTTGAAGATTATACTAAAGTCGTAAAGACCGAATTCGGCATTTGACTTTACTACTCATCAGATTTTGAAATGGAACAATGTATGCGTGCCAAAGATTTGTACTACTATAGTATACAAGTTGGATTCGTCCCAACAGAATATTACAAATTCCAGTTTGTTTCATGACACTTACAAGAATATTTACAAAAGTTATTTCTGAACGACTTCGTAAGACAATGGGTCCACTTGGGATACAATCGTTCCCGATGATACAATTGATTGGCAATCTGCCAGAGTGAAAACAATGTTGGTTTGAACATATCAGGAGTGTATAATAGGGTGTGTATAGTGTGTAATATGCAAATATACACTCCTGAACATATAGATTTACGACAGTTGCAGACAAAATATCAATGTGACAGGTCAGCTGATGAACTAACTTGGGTCATCACTGATCATGAAATAGAGATTGCACTACAACTTTTATAGATATTCATATGAAGTATTAGCACTAGTTTTTGGTCGAACTACATCTTAGATGCACGTGAACGCCATATGCAACAATGTAAAAAAAAAACTGGATTCAAATGAATAATCTGTCGTACAAAATATTATTTATAATCTGTAAAGTTTTCATATAAACTTGGACCCACAATAGCTTTAAGTGACATCGGACCTTAAAACCTGAACGGGTTAATGGCCAGTAATGTCTAATACGTTACGTGGTTTTACTACAATGCATGCATGCCATACGACCAACTATTACATAAATTTTGAAATATTTACAGACTATATAGGCGCAATGTATGCCAACCGTGCAATAGTTGTTTTTTGCTTAGACATGTGATTTTTTACTTGGAAATTTCGTGGTATAAAAAATCACCTATACATTGATCGTTGCTTGAACGGAAACATGTAAGGCGCACGCGCGCATATATACATAGCTACATACCCGCACGCACGTCACACGCTCGCATTCACAGGCACATATAGATATATAGACACACTACAAAAGATATCTTACTGGAAATATTTTACAACATGCACGACACGAGCTTTCTCGGCTGAAGAGTGTCAACCTTTCCAAGAACTACATATAATTTCATATTGCACGTCTGCCTTGATCTAAATAATCAATTATTACAAACTACAACTCAAACTTGAATGCTACATTGCAGAGCCTCATAGTGTAGCACCACGCTACGGGCTACGTACACTACGAAAGACGGCAAGTCGTGTACACGATATCATAAGTATGACATGCAGCGTTTGTCCCCTCGGGCATCTTTACATCAACAGGCTATTGCCTACTTAGCAACTGTAGGCAGCAGACAGCAAGCACAGATTGTTTACAAAGCGTGTAGCGTGAGTAGTAGCGCTACATTAATGTCAACCAAACGTGAATGAAGTGACATTCCTCGATCAGCATTCCAATCTAGATTTGACACGAATGAAACACTTTCTCTGCGTGTGTGCACTGTGCTTACATAGGTTATTTTTACACTTAGATTTGCCATTAATGCAGCCTAATGAAGTACAAAATGGCACATGATGAGGTGATTTTCTTGATGAGTAGGCAAACATTGGTATACAAACACAGGATGTTGCATATCTTTACTGCAGGAATACAGCTAAAGAAACAACTATGAGAGCCTAGTGTAAGACACGTTTGGCTGGACAAAATATTGCCTAGTTGCCGTAATGCATGTCATGATTTAAAACAATTTTCGTTTGACAAAAAATGGGGAAATGGGTGTCATTCCTAAAGATCATGAAGCAAAACATTGTTTTTTTAATTGCTCACGATGCAGCATGCGTGTAAATAGAACAGCAGAAATACAGCCGGTAACCGGACTGGGTCAGTCGGGTTACGGTAATCAGGCAATTTTTTTGGGACCAGCAATACTGGCCATCCATTAACCTAAAATACTCCTCATTTCCAGCCACAAACGTGCTCAATAAATAAGATATAAATACAGATACTCATTGATTCTCACAGGCCCATCACTACGATAGATCACCATCATCAGTACGACTGTCACACAGACACACGTCTTGCCACGTCTGATCAAAGCAAACACTTTAAAAGACGGTTGAGAGAAGTAAAAATGCCTTGTAAGAGAGAGGAATTACACGCTGACACTGTATAGCTGACAAAATCACACTGTATCATACACTCGGGGGTGGGGGTAGACCCTCGTGAACTTAATAAGTCTAGCTGACATCCGCACGATCGCAGAGACCGGCTCCCCCTCCCCTCCCCACGGACCGCATCTACGAGCGGAATCTAACGTAAAAAAACAACAACTGCCGACAGAGGGCGCTCTCGTCTCGCTCGCTCTCGCTAGCCCATGTGCGTCACGTGCTCGTTGTCGCTGGGCGATGGAGTGTTCACGCTCTCCTTGTCCTTCTGACTCGACGGCTTCTGATTCTGCGGGTAGTTGAGGTTCCACACGAAGTCCCCGCCGCCGGCCGTCGAGTTGCGAACCTTCTCCGGGACGTCGTCCTGCCACATGAAATAGTTCCCCGTCGCCGGATCATAGATGAAGTGACCGCCGGCCACCGCGTCTGCATCCCCGGTTGCCGTCGGCGACGACCTCCGCCGCGGCGGCGTCGGCGGCTCGCCGTAGCGTCCGAACCGCGGGTACCGCTTCTCGCCCCGCGCCGCGGCGCCGCTGTCGGTCGCCACGGCGACGGCAGCAGCAGCGCCGTCGTCCATGTCGTCGTGGCTCATGGCGACGGCCGAGTCGTCGTCCTCGTCGTCGTTCGTCACGAGCGTGGCGAACTTCTTGAGGTCGAGCTGCGCGTTGGGCGGGCGCGAGCGGTAGAGCGTGCGCTCCGTGTCGGCCTCGCTCGGCGCATTGCCGCCGCCGCCGCCGCCGTCCTCGGAGCGTGAGCTGAGCGGCGACAGCGTCGACGAGTGCCGCTGGATCTGCTGGAGGATGTCGTCGATGTTCTGCAGCTTCATCGGCTCCGGCATGAGACACGAGCTCTCCATGTCCCCGCCGCCGCCGCCGCCGCCGCCGCCGTAGACTCCACCGCCGTAGCCACCACCGCTGCACAGATTGTTCTCCTTGTGTCGCGGCGAGCGCGCGGGACTCCCGCCACCCTCCTCCACGACAGCGTCCTCCTTCCGCTGCACAGAGGAGAAGGAAGGCGGCGGGCTGCCGTTTCGGTTCGCATCGAACGGCGGCGGCGGCAGCGCGTCGGGCGATCCGAAATCCTCCGTGCAGTCGCTGTAGTAGTCGTCGTTGAGGAACATCTTCTTGACGTCGTCCTCGAAGCCGGCCACCAGGGGGCGCCGCTCGGGCGACCGGCACTCAGCCACGGAGTCGTCGCCCGTGTTCTCGGCGTCGGCCGACTCCTGGTAGTGCTCCTGCTCGTGCGTCGGGGACTCGTCATCACCTAGCAACAGCGAGAGAGCGAGAAACGGCGATTAGTGCATGGACCAGGGAAGAAATTAAAATTTATTTTTCGGGGGCTACTTTTCAAGCTCGCGAGCATGAAAATAGCACTCTAAAATTTTGTTTGCATTGAACTCTATGCAAATTTTCGGGGGCTCTTTTTGGCATTTCGGGGGCTAAATCACCCCGAGCCCCCGTGTATTTTTTTCACTGGCATGGACGAGAACGAAACGACGGCGACGAAGTATTTGGACAATGTAACGACGTTAACAAAGTAAACGTCAGGGTCCCTAATTGGGGGACCAAACCTTGGAAACGTGGTGTCTCGCTCTCAGCGCGGCAGCTGCCGCTACTGCGAAGCTACGGAAGGATTAGCTTGGATGTCTAATACATAGGATTAGTACGCGGACAGGAAGGTCGCTTGCCGACGGCGACGAAGTATTTGGACGAGGGTTGACGGTTGATGGTCAGCGTCCGTGATTGGGGGACCAAGCAAGGACAACGCGAGGCCCGTTCTCAGAAACATCGTAATGTTAAGACTAATGGTAAGACTCATTTTGTTTAATTATAAATTTTTTTCTTACTCGCAGCACAGCAGCTGTCACTATTGCAAAGCAGTGGATGTCTAAATACACACACATGCACGCGCATACCAACGCACGCACGCACGCACGCACGCACGCACGCACGCGTCTATAAGTCATACCTATGTCGCTGGAGCTCTGACTCTCTCGATCGAGATACTCGTCCGGATGCCTCTCCATCGTGCCCCTCGTGCTGGCGGCAGTCCCCGGCGTGCGATACGGCGACCCCTGCGACCCCTGTGACCTGTACGGTGACCCCTGTGATCCCTGCAACCTGCAGGGCGACCCCTGCGACGCGGCGGACCCCTGCGAGCGGTGCGAGGCGTTGGAACGCTGGGAGCGCTGCGAGCCGAGCGACCCGTGCTGCGACTGAGACTGCTGAGACGCGAGCGAGCCGGCCTGAGACGCCTGAGACCGCTGTGAGGCGAGCGAGCGCAGGGAGCCGTCCTCCTGCTGCTGCTGCTGCTGCTGCCGCTCGAGCGTCGCCTTCTTGAGGATGCCCTTCTCCGGGATGCGGCACAGGTCGCTGACGATGTTCTCCCGCAGCCTCATCACGGACGCGTCCTCTTCGCCGCCGCCGCCGCCCTCCCCCGCCGACGTCTTGCCCTTCCCCTTGCCCTTCTTCTTGCGGTTTTCGAGGATCTTGCTCTCTCTGTGCGTGCGTGGAAGAAAGACGGTAGCACGGCGTGAGAAACACAGTACCTTTGCCGAAACGATCATGCCGAAATAATAATAGATGTACAATGACAACAGACAACATCACCGTACCTGTACGATGATACCATCACTATGACAAACGTTACACCATCACTACAGCAAAGGTCAAGGCATCACCATGACAATGGTGACAGCATCACTATGACAATGATGACAGCATCACTATGACAATGATGACAGCATCACTATGACAACGGTGACAGCAGACAGCATCACCACTGTACCTGTAGGACGGCATGCTGCCGAACGTGATGATTCTGTTAGCGAGCGACTCTGAGTCGCAGTCACTCAATGGCTTCGTCTTCATCGGCAGCTTCTTCTTGTTCCACGGCGTTATGTTGCTTCTTCTCCTACAACACGCGCCAACAACGCAGCAACATTAGCATTAACCATTCACACAATGCGAGATACGATGTTATCAGGAGTGAATAATAAGTGCACACCTCAGACACATATCCGCCCCACTAATAACAGATTATTATATAATTAAAAATCTATTATTATTCACTCCTGATGTTATGCTGCTTCTGCTCCTACACATGCGCCAACAACACAGCAACATTAGCACCAATCATCGCAGGTGAGATAGGTCACATCTGCTTTCGCTAGCAGACACAGTGGGTAACAACCACTTTAACATTATAAGATGGCATCACTGTCGTAGATTACGAGTGTTGCGTCGCTTTTGTCTAGTCATACGAGTTGATGTATTGCAGGATATCGTTAATCCCAAAGCGCTGGTTTTCTCGTACTGTAGAGTAGTTGAACCCACCTGTAGCACAGAGCAAAGATGGCGAATGCCACGAGCACGGCTCCAACCACGGCTCCAAGAATAATAAACATCAGTTCGCGTGTCACCGCTGAGTTCGACAAATCTGTAAACACAAAAGAAAGATGTGAACAAATGCCAGCCGCGGGGATTCGAGAGGGTATATTTTGCACAGCTTTTGATCTTGTGAAGTAACAGTTTCCTATCCATTAATCACAGCGATGTAGCAGAGTAAAAACAAGTTGCTAAGCTTACTGACATGCAAATACGAACGAATAGCCTAAAAAAACACACGTGACAAAAACACATTAAATGAACTAAAAAAAATATACATTTTCCCCCTTGCCATGATCGCTGGCACACTCACGCACTCTCGCAACATGAATGCATACCGGGCTGCACTGTCATCTTAACAATATGCTCTCACCTTGAGTCGCCACGGTTTCCTTGTCACTGTCCCACCCTTTCCGGATGAGCCTTCTTCCGCCATCCTCCCCGTACGATGCAAAGTCGTCGATGCCAAAGAGGAATGGACGCGCTGTTGTGCTTGTCGTCGTGGTTACGTTGATCTTGATGCTGCAGTCGAAGCCCATCCACATGTCAGCGCAGTGACACTGTCCCCTGTTGGTGCAGAGCTGTCAAAGTAAAATGCACATGAGTTTAATTATAGCTGTCATCGGGCAAAAAATGCAAAAACCTATCATATATATATATCATATATCAAAAACCTATCATATATATATATCTATGCAGATATAGCGATGATACAATACAGCGATCATGTTCAGATAGATTAAATTTTCCTGCTGTTCCTCACAAATTATTCTGCAGGATTGCCCTGATTTCTGCTCAATGAGACTCGATGAGTGTTTTTTCAAGTTAAGGTTTGGCTAAGCGCATTCAACAAAGGAAACATGGGACACAGCACATATTTTGAACAATCATTCAAACTGCGAGGTTCAATGATCAGTTGGTAGCACAGACAAGGGCAACCTACTCCATCCTTTCTGCCCCGTACTCACCCCATGGTCTGAGCAAGTCTGGCCATGGTTGTTCTTTGGACAGTCTTCCGTCACAACCGAGCTCACGCTCACGCAATGCTGCTCGCTGCACATCTGAAACAATAAGGAGCAGTTAAGTTACAAGAGCCGGAGGGCAGCTACTTGTACAGTAGGCTCCTGAGCGGTGACTACACCAGTACAAGCAATAACCCATGGAAAACCAAGTCGTATGCAATTAAGCCTTGAGAACACTGGTGACATACCATTCCAGGTGCACACTTGGTTCCATCCATTACCAATCCGGTGTGTCTGGTTCCTGAAGGGTCTTTGCCACTGGCAGTTCTGGAAATAAGTGACAACTGCAATGAGATTCCTGACAGATTCCTGTTGAGGTTTCCACCTTTACAGGTGTTCCCTATGTGGTTTCTTACAGGTGTTCCCTATGTGGCTTACTACAGGTGTTCCCTATGTGGTTTCTTACAGGTGTTCCCTATGTGGCTTACTACAGGTGTTCCCTATGTGGTTTCTTACAGGTGTTCCCTATGTGGCTTACTACATGTGTTCCCTATGTGACTTACTACAGGTGTTCCCTATGTGGCTTACTACATGTGTTCCCTATGTGACTTAGTACAGGTGTTCCCTATGTGGCTTACTACATGTGTATCCTATGTGCCACCATACATGTGTTCCCTATGTGAATTACTACATGTGTTCCCTATGTGGCTTACTACAGGTGTTCCCTATGTAGCACCATACAGGTGTTCCCTATGTGGCTTACTACAGGTGTTCCCTATGTGGCTTACTACAGGTGTTCTCTATCTGGCTTACTACAGGTGTTCCATATGTGGCTTATTACAGGTGTTCCCTATGTAGCACCATACAGGTTTCTTCTATGTGACTTCCTACAGTATAACCGTGCTCCCTATGTGCCTCACATCCCACCACATCCACTTTGTTTCTTCTTAAATTTCATACTTACTTGCACTCAAACTCACGGCCACCGACAGACATGGTCGTTTTCGAGAAGGTGTGTTTCAGGCCCGGGATAAGTGGCGTGCTTGATCCATGCTGACACTGCAGCAATCCACAGAACACGTGCCTACAGTACACACACACACACTCGAGTTAGACAAACAACATATGAATGCATGAAGCTGCTACACCACAGTAATAGCACCCTTTTCACTTCCTAGTCATTAATTTAGGAGAAATGGCTTATGGAAATTATCACAAAGATTTGCAGTATGCATCCATCTGTCCTTCATTGACAATTATGTTTGCAAATGAATTCTTTGCTGTGTACAGTGTATGAGCATCATCCTTATGCACCTTCTTTCTAACATTCTGATGATTCTAAATGATGCACAGATAGATTACAAGATTGAAATGCATAAACATCCATCTCTAATGTGAGATTATTTACTCATGATCTCTATTTATTCTGCCTACTGACAGATACACCCATCAACCAATCAAGTCACCAACTGACCGATCAATAAAGTAACTGACTGACCGACAGACAGACATACAGCCCGGTCAACCAACAAAAATACACGCACACAGACAGACACACAGACAGATAGATACACACACACAGACAGACAGACACACTGACAGGCAGAAAGCAGCTGGGCCTATAAGTACGTACTGTTTATCACAACTGACAGGCTGCTGCTTGTTGGTGCCACAGTTACCAATCTCACTGCCCTGCAGGTTGAATCTATTGTAGCACTGCTGGTCTCCCACCATCGACTCTGTAGCATGTTATATGACAATTAATATCAAAATGCCGAGTATACATAAAACAATATAAAATACATTAATACAATATCTATATATATAATGATGTAAATCATAACTCGAGCTAATTAATGTTGCGATATGGTGTTATGAAAATTATGCCTAGTAACAAAGTGCCTTTAAGTCAGACATTATGACGTGCACACCGGAATGCAACATTTGAAGAATGTGAGCCTCACCAACCTAGCAAGAATCATTGCTAGGTGTGAGTGCAAATCGAGTGGTTATCCCACTCAGGCGTATCGGTCAATTCAACCATGTTTTACAGCCACCTCACTGTTACGTCGTCGCGAGCAAACATGCCAACATTCCAACATTGCCAACATTACCAACATTGCCAACATTACCGACATTGCCAACATTACCGACATTGTCAACATTACCGACACTGCCAACATTACCGACACTGCCAATATTACCGACATTGCCAACATTACCGACACTGCCAACATTACCGACATTGCCAACATTACCGACACTGCCAACATTACCGACATTGCCAACATTACCGACACTGCCAACATTACCGACATTGCCAACATTACTGACATTGCCAACATTGCCAACATTACCGACATTGCCAACATTCAGCTGTCAGACATTCACCTGACCCCCCCCCCCCAGAGACTGATCGAGACCTTCACTCACGTTTGCCCCAGACTGACCGACACTGCGCGGTCAGGGATGGACACAGCCCGCGGTGGCAGTAGTTGCGTCCGAGGTTGCACGGCTGGCCGTCCTGCACGTACAAGTCCATGGGACATCGGCCCGCCGCGCCGTCACACTGCTCCTCTATGTCGCACTCACTCCTCGCCTCTCTGCACGCGCTCCCACGAGGCTTCAGCTGCTCACAGAAATGCACGTACCCATCAGGCGGTAGCAACGCACGTAATACGGGCGTTAACAAAAAAAAACATTTCCTGATAAGATCTATTTAATTTGTAACATAAAAACTTGGATAAGACACTATTATACAAGTATATATAATAAGAATACATAGTTTGTCAAACTCACTTTGTCAAAAAAACATTTTGAAAATTATATAAAAATTATTCCAGAATTTTCTACGTAGTGGTGAACTACATGGCTGGGTGAATATGGCTATAGACGACCTTACACTAACCCAAAGCATCAACTCTATTACAAATGCAGAATTATTAAAATAAAATGGAGTTAAATTTAATCATTTTAATGAAATAGAAGCCTTCGTTCCCCACTTGATCATGGGCCAGCAGCAGAGAAGGAATATTCCAACATAAGCAAGCATTAGAGAACTACGTTACCTTGCACTGGTGGCAACAGGGCCCAGTAGAGCACTGTGCCTCAGGTAGTAACTTGCACGTATACACATCACAACATGGATCCTTCTTCTCACATTCCAGCTGAAAAACAGAAGATACCGATTCCAGATTTACTATTGTTTGTTCTACATCATGGTCAGTTATGTAGCTGTACTGAAGAACCACATAAGCAATAACAATATGTTTATGTTATAAATATTACAAAATTAATAAGCCAACCTATAGACCCTAGACTTCCCCCTATCCACTCTTCATGCCCCCTTGTTTTACTCACAAACCCAACCATCCTCCCACAATATTAACCCATCACCCCCTCCCATTTTACTTACAAACTCAACCATCCACCTACAATATTAGCCCATCTACCCTGCTGTTTTATTTATAAACCCAACCATACTCTCACAATATTACCCCCCCCCCTATTTTAGTTCTAAACACCAAACTATCCTCCCATAATATGACCTCCCCCCTCCAATTTCACTTCCAACCCCTTTCCCCCTTCGCTCGAGTCCATGTATCAATAGTATCAATTCCTCATTCATCATCCTTGTTTTACTTACAATCCCAACCATGCTCCCACAATATGAACCCCCAACCTCCCCGTTTTAACTATCAACCCCACCAGCCTCCCAACCCCCTATAGACCCACGGCGCTCACCGTCGCT